ATGTGACGCCTAGTCACGCTCCACGTGACGCGACTAAGCGCGCCCTGCAAAACTTTTTTCTTTGTTCGTGACGTGACATCCCTTTGTTCCTCCTCCTGACATATCTCCTGTCAAACATACATTTTTTTCCTTCTCATTTCATAACTCGCGTTATTTATTTTCTGTCTGCTGTGTGGGAGGGCATATGCATGATGGTTTGGAAGTAAACTTCATAAAGAACTCACATGAGTCAGAGGTTCAACCGACGACGTGCACTTCGTTCGTGGCTTTGGCAAAGCGGGCGCTCGATTGTACTGGATCGGTCAGTACAAACCGGCCAAAGGCCATAGACACGATTGCCACGTTTTCCATGAGCATATGCAAAAATGACGAGCTGCTAGTAGCCTAGTACACGTCATACTCTGGTTGACGCGATACAGGCCAAAGCGCAGACAATACTTATTGATCAAACAAGAAAAGATTGGAATCTCTATAGGTTAGGTAATTTACGTATTATTAGCACATTCTACTTCTGATTGCTACTTTGACAGATGTGATATAGAGATGACATCGAAGCTCAAATTGTTCCCAGCATCAAATGATTCAAGTCGTCGTCACATGCAAATGTATAGATTCAATGCGTTCCTACATGGCCAATATAATGTATAAGCACCCACCTCCCTCCCTCAACCCTAACGTTTCAAGTTTCTGAGGCCAGCATCTTCATTTCACACATCTTTACAATCGAGTGGTAACAGAAAGCATTCCTAGGCTCTCAGAGGATCCTTTGCACAGAAAACGAATTCGACTCCAGGGCAAAACAAGAATTCCAGGTAAATACCTAGTAGTTTGCTGCCTTCTTAGTAACACATAGGCCAACCACAAAAGAATAGGATCGTTGACACGCAGACATGGAGTACTATGTAGACCTCGAATCGACTTGTCGCGCACTCCGTCGGCTGACCCTCAAACACTGGAAACGCTTTGATGAAACAGGGGAACGAGTAGCAATTGACAATTCTATTTCACATTGTCGTATTGAACTCGGACTTCGTCCCCAGGGACATCCACATCGTTCTGATACAATGGATTATCTTGGAACGTTTCTCGATGAGCGGTTCAGGCGATGGAGGGGAATAGAAGATCTAGAGGAGGCCATCAAGTTTCACCGTACTGCGCTTGAACTTCGACCTGACGGCCATCCCGATCGTTCCGAGTCTCTGTTGAAACTCGCCTCTTCCCTTAAAACTCGATTTGATCAGCTCGGAGGGACCGCAGAGCTTGATGAGGCCATAGAGCGTCATCGTACTGCCTTGCAGCTTTTCCCTAACGGCCATCCTTATCGTTCGATGTCTCTGAATAACCTCGCGAATGCCCTTCGAACTCGATTTCGACAGTTTGGACGAACTACGGATATCGATGAGGCCATCAAGTTTCACCGTGCTGCCTTGGAACTTCGTCCCAATGGCCATCCCCATCGTTGCATGTCCCTGAATAATCTCGCAAATTCATTTCAAAACCGATTTGAACAGTTCGGACAGCCCACAGACCTCGATGAGGCCATCAAGTATCACCGTGCTGCTCTGCAACTCTACCCTGAAAGGCATCCCGATCGTTCCTTGTCTTTGAATAATCTTGCGCATTCCCTTCAGACTCGATTTGATCAGCGTGGTCGGACTGCAGACCTCGACGAGGCCATCAAAAATCACCACGCTGCCTTGGAACTTCGTCCTAATGGCCATCCCCATCGTTCCGAGTCTCTAAATAACCTCGCGAATTCCCTTCAAGCTCAATTTAAACTATGTGGGCAGACTGTTGATCTTGATGAGGCCATCAAGTACCGCCGTGCTGCACTGCAACTTTTGCCCAACAGTCATCCTTATCGTCCCATGTGCCTAAATAACCTTGCCTCTTCCCTTCGAACTCGATTTGAGCAACATGGTCAGACCCAAGACCTCGACGAGGCCATCAAGCATCATCGCGCCGCCCTGCAAATTTGCCTTGACGGCCATTCCGATCGGTCCATGTTTCTGAATAACCTCGCCGGCTCCCTTCAAACACGATTTAGACAGTATGGACGGACTGCAGATCTTGATGAGGCCATTGAGTGTCATCGTGCTGCCTTGGAACATCTCCCTGACAGCCATCCCATACGTTCTTCTTCTCTAAATAACCTCGCCTCTTCCCTTCAGACTCGATTTGAACAGTATGGGCAAGCTGCAGATAATAATGAGGCAATCAAGTACTATCGTGCCGCCTTAGACCTTTTCCCCGACGGCCACCCCGATCGTCCTGCTTCTCTAAATAACCTTGCAGTTTCTCTTCAGACCCGCTTCGAACAGTATGGACAGTCAACAGACCTCGATGAGGCCATCAAGTATTATCGTGCTGCCTTGGAGCTTCGCCCCAACGGCCATAACAGTCGATCTATGTCTCTGAATAACCTGGCATCCTCCCTACGAATCCGTTTTGAACAGCGTGGCCAGACTGCAGACATTGACGAATCCATCGAGTATCATCGTGCCGCCCTGCAACTTTACCCTGAAGGGCATCCCGATCGCTCTATGTCTCTGAATAACCTCGCAAATTCTCTTGAAGCTCGATTTCAAAAGCGTGGATTGTCTACAGACCTCGACGAGGCTATCAAGCATCATCGTGCTGCCCTGCAGAGTTTACCCGAAGGCCACCCCGTTCGTTCCGCATCACAAAAGAACTTGGCTAAATCACTATTATCCCGGTTCGAGAAGTCTGGGCTCGTGGATGATTTTGAAGAGTGTATACAATTACTCGAACACGCTGCCGATCATAAGCTTTCAAGCCTTACGATGCGTCTCGCGGCTGCCAGTCAATGGGCCAACCTCGCCGGTAGTCATGCTCACGATACCACATCTAGAGCTTATAAAATGGTGATGCTGCTCCTTCAGCGTGCCCTCGTCGTTAGCCCCAATCTACATGCACAACACGAATTGCTCAGCCAGGGGCGCTACTACAGGACGTTTGCGTTAGACGCAGCTGCCCATGCCGTGGAGGGAGAGATACTTGAAGATGCTATAGAAATGCTTGAGCAAGGAAGGGGTCTACTCTGGTCGCAGATGCGTGGGTTCAGGACACCGCTAGATCAACTCATGGAAACGAATAGAGAGCTTGCAGAGCGGTTTAGTAGTGTTAGTCATCGACTAGAGAGGCTCACGACGTCCTCTGAGGGATGGACAGCTGGTATGACGCTCGCAACGTCCTCCAAGGATCTGATTCCCAGCGGGTCATTTGACTTCAGGGTACACGAGAAACAGCAATCGCTCGACAAGATGCTTAAATTGAAGAGGCAAGTTTCTAATGAGCAGGACGAGATTATCGACGAAATACGGCGAATTCCCGGGTTTGAGAGCTTTCTCAAAGCTACGCCGTTTAAAGTACTTCAGCAAGTAGCCTCTGAGGGTCCGGTGATTGTGGTAAACCATAGCAAATATCGATCGGATGCACTTATCATCCTTCCATACGAAGACGTGCCAGTCGTCTGTGTTCCATTAGATGGAGAATTCCATAGAGATGGTACCACGCTGTATGTTGAGCTCTTGGTAACGCGGAAGCGTCTTGGACCCGGTTCATCCGAATACGATACGAAACTCCTCGAAGCGATGAAGTTTTTATGGGATAGAGTCGTCTCCAAGGTCGTCAACAAACTCAAAGAATTCGGAATTATCGAGGGATCGCGAATCTGGTGGTGTCCTACGTCCGTGCTTTCCGTTCTTCCTTTCCATGCAGCAGGACCATTTAAAGGCACAGATGGTACCATAAAGTATCTTTTGGACGACTACGTGTCATCATATACTCCGACGCTTGGGGCTCTTATCAGTGCTCGTTCGAGGGAATACAAGGACGATCCGACAATGCTTGTTGTTGGCGACACCAAATCTCTTATGTCGACTGAAAAGGAGATTCGTGCCGTACGGGATCATACTCGGAGCTACATTTCTTCTCCCACGATATTCTTGAATGAGAGAGCGTGCCGCGACAGGGTGATGAAACGCCTCCAGAAAGCCACATGGGTTCATTTTGCTTGCCACGGACATTTAGGCTCAGGGTCTCTTGACTCGTCATTTGTACTCTCCGATGGTGGATTAACATTGCTCGACATTATCCGGGCTGACCTTCCGAATGCTGAATTTGCATTTCTCTCTGCTTGTCACACTGCCGAACAAGATGGATCCGGTTCGTATGATGAAGTACTCCACTTAGCTTCCGCTGCGCAATTCTGCGGATTTCGAAGCGTGATTGGGACAATGTGGGAGTTGTACGACGCGGACGGCCCTTTGCTTGCTAGAAAGGTTTATTCGTACATGGCAGAGTATGAGGACGGTGAAGTAATACATAAGCGTTCCGCAGCAGCGCTACGTAAAGCTATTTTGGAATTGCGAAGGCAGGATGGTGTCCAGACGGAGCGATGGGTTAACTTAGTACATATCGGTGCTTGACTGACGTTCGCAGTAATGATAACGATTCATTTGTTTGAGTGCTGACCCAATAGACCAACGTACTTGGTTCTTCGCTTTTCTTTCAAATCTCTGTGCTTAAATTATGTTGGCTGTCCTGGTTTTTGACCTTTTTCCTGTGTCACATTGAGTACTGTCTTGTGGATCTGTCAAATATAGTTGTGTAGCAATATTGCATAGATAGACAATGTGAGCTCACAGTCCACTCTCCATCAACAGGTAAGGCAAAAGTATTAAAGAAATAAACATTTATCAAGCATTTATGTGTGTCACTATGCTTAACAAAAATGTATGCAATTTCTGTTCCATGCCCTACTCCTCAACATTTCTGTTCCACATACAAAAAAAAAACAGTATAACTTGCTATAAAGCATTTTTGTTTAACAGAAGTAGAAAGTGTATAATATGTATCAGATATATACACTTTTCCCTGAAAGCTAAATAATATTCAAATCTTACCCCTTCTGGCACTGTATAGAAGACTTTGACACAGTACAATACAAACACAATCTGTAGTAGACTAGTAGTAGTCACTTTGATTCAATTACAATTCTGACAAGTTACACTGTTCTACTAGATACTTTGAATTCTATCACATATTTAATTGGGATTGATTTAGAGCACAAGAAGATCAAACAATACATGAGCTACAACTGTAATATATAATATAAATGTTATATAGAACAAAATGAGCTACTGTCACATTTGCTACTACAGGAGGTTTTCCTATACAGTAAGACATGTGTGTTTCTAAAGCAAGCACTCTACTTCAATCTATGACACAGATGTTCTAAGGTATTAATGCCTGATAATACTGCCTTTTTCATAAGTATT